CCCAGATTGTGCTTGTTTATTATATTTATTACTATGTTATTTATATATATTATTTTCAGCCAGGTTGCAAGTTTTGAATTGCCACAGGCCAGTTTTTTCAGGAAATAGAGGAAAACTGGAAGGCTCAGGTGGATTGGAGGACACTGGGCCTCCAGTTGCTGGGTTGTGCTGGAATATCAAGAAATTGAGGCTCTGAAATGCAAACAACTGGTTTCATGGCAACTGGGAGTCAAGGATTTATCAAATAATCCCAAATAATGTATCAAATGATCCCAAATAACCCCACATCTGAAAGTTGGCCATTTGGAATTGCGGAAGGAAAGTGTGCAGATCCACGGCAGTGAACAAGCTGCTGATAATTTAAGAGTTTATTGCGACTGGGGAATGTAGAATTAACCCTTACAAATCTTTATGGGAAGGGAGAAATCCTCCTGCTTCTAGAGGGAGCAGAACCTCTCGGGCTCCTGCTCTCACAGAGTAAAAAAGTGCAAAATAATGGGTAATTTGTAGGGATTTTACTATCTATCTACTAAAACTGGTAATTTGTATTAAAATTCTCTTGGAATACTATGAGTTCCAGGTCACTGAGTAGCCAAATCCCTCTTCAGCTTCCACCATTTTGGGGTAGATCACCTACAAATTAATAATTTAGAATAATTACAATGCAGACATGGAACAGACAACAGCTTAACATCTGAGATGGCAAAATTCCTTTTACTCCCTATAATGAGAAGTGGGGTTTTTTTTTCAGTTCAGGCTGTTTTAAAATGGATAGAATTAATTTTTTTTTTAATTTTTATTTTTCCATTTAACCAGAAAATTTTCCACATAGCATCAAACTTCCTAGATTTTTTTTTTTTTACCTCGAAATTTTTTTTTTTTCCCCAGAGAAACATATTCTTTATTTTGCCATTATCCCTTTTATTTTTCCTCAAAGCCCATGACAGTTTTTCACTTCCACTGAGGTGCTTCTTGAAGGACATGAGAAAAAACTATGGAAAACTCATTGATCCCGTGTCCCAGAGCCCGGCAGGATCCACAGGGAAGGAAAAGAAACTCTCAGCCCCCTGGGCAGCCCCTGGAAGGGGAAGGTGGGTGCCAGCGTGTCTGGCACTTCCATATCAAGGTGGATTAAGAGCATTAAGGAAGCTTAACCAGCTCCCAGGAGGGAGATTCCCATGGGTTTCAAGGCTTAACCCACTGCAGCAGTTGCTTGGCTGCGATTTGGGTTGAAAGATCAGGGGTTTTTTTCTCCGTGTTTTACCTTTTTGTTGTTGTTGTTGTTAAAAGCTCCAAGTTTGAATGCTCGGGACGTGCTGAGGGGTTCAGGTTTGGGAAAGCTCAGCCCGCACCCCTGGCCAGGTTCAATGGGCATTGCCGTGGAAGTTCTAAGGCCAGGGAAAAAGGGAAAAAGGGCAGGGTTTTTCCGGTTTGATTCAACTAATAGTCCCAATCTAGCTCGGTTTCCAGGTTTTATTGTCATTAAAATATCAGGAATTCCCTGAGTCGTGTGTTCTTTGTGCCACAGGAGGGAAGGACATCGAGGGGCTGGATGTTTCATCCACATTAACCAGCGAGGAAGAGTCCTGAAGATTCACTGTCAAATACTTAGTTTCAAGATCTGGAAAGAAACATTTTTAAAAACTATTTTCCAACCTATTTATTATTTTAAAATCATAGCATCCGTTACCTTTGAAACCTCTCAGCTGGCTCCCACCCGAGAAAAACTTAGTGGGTCGAGAGACTGAAAGGTTTAGAAGCGGCTTTGTGAAGAGCAGGAAAGCTGCAGGGCCTGGAGGGGGGTCAGGGGGTGGCTGGGGAGGTGGGGGCAGTGCCCTGGGTGTGCCATCAGCCCCTGCACCCTGAAGGTCCTTTAAGCACATCTCTCACGTCCTCATCAATCCTCCCCCCCCACCGTGCCCCAAGTGGCTGGGGAATCCCATTTTTGCCCTTGCTGCTGGAACACACGTTTACCTCCCAGCTCCCATGTTTTAGGAGCTGCTGCTGCAGTTCCTCAGCTCTCCTCTGCCAGGCCCCTCTGCAGAGCACATGGCCGGGGCCATTCGTGTGCTCCAACTATTCCTGTGCTCAGGAATGGCATGTGTGGATTATTGGCAGTGCTGGGCTGCAGCAGATCTTTGGTTACAGTCCTGCTGCACTTCCACAAACACTTTAATCCAGCATAAGCCAGAGATGCTGCCCTGCCCTGCACAAATGGTCCTGCAGCTGCACATTTAGCTGCTTGGGGGAACTGATTTGGGGTTCAAACTAACCCAAACCAAAACACGAGCTCTCCTCCTTCCCAGCCTCACCAGTATTTATGCTGGCTCCGAGCTCAGCACCTTTCTGGGGGGGTTAAGACCACAACAAGTGCGTGAAGGAAACCAGGAGCCGCTTTTTGGGTGTTCAGGGGCTGGTTTAAAGGGCTTGTGGAACTGCACTTTAAACTGTGGCTCCTTGCTGAGCAGCCAGATATTCTAAAAGAGGATTAATGATCATAATTTGAAGCCCTGACTCCCAAGGCACACCTTGGATAGGGCCCAGGGTGTGGGCTTGGGCTAATTTTGTCTCTCTCACCTGCCTGCCTTCAACCATTTTGCTCTGAATAACCTCAGGTTGTATCTTCTGTGACCCAAACCAAGCACAACACGTTTCCACACCCACTGAAATATTTCTCTCTCCTCTCCCAGCAGATATTTGCTGTATTAGGTGGTTCCACTCAGTATTTGGGCAACAAAGCAGCGGGAGGAAAATACAGGACCTGGGTGAATTGTGCTGGGCAGTGTCACAATCTGACACTCTTGAGTTGCTCGTTCCTTTCCTCCAAAGCTTTTCTATAATAATCTATGAGTTTCATTAGTGGTTTATCTTTGGATTACAGGGAACTGCAGAGCTTCACTCCTCCCAAATTACATTTATTGTGTCGTTGGGCATCAGAATAAAGTTATGGATCGTGGTTAGTTGCATCAACTCCTTTTGTTAGATTTACAGCCCTTACACGGTACTGTGTGGCTTGGAATTTTGGAAACAATTTCAGCTACTTCTGTAAAACTAAACCCCTTTTTTGAGACAAATTCCCCTTAATTTAAGTAATCTTGTAGGACAATGCAAACACTACTTATGGTGGGTTCCCCCCCCCCCCCCCCCATCTTTCCTGCCAAATTTAATGCATCATGCACAGGAGTTCTTGATTTCAGTCCCAGTCACTTCCAGCTGTGCCCTCTCTTCGAGGGTCCTGCCAGGTGACCAGAATGAACCGGTTTTTTGTCCAGGGAATTGGCAGTTTGTGGGTGTGGGCAGGAGCAGGTGCCTCACCCTCCTGACTGGGGGCTTTGTGTGATTTCCTAACAGCTCCCACCTGCTCAGAGCTGGACACCTTACTCCGAGTTGCTCCCAGTGCCTGCAGAGCCTCTGCCAAACCACCGGTTCCTTCAGCTGATACTGAAGAATTGAGGAATTAATTGAGGAATTAATTGAGGAATTAATTGAGGAATTAACTCCTGCACCCTGCACAGCCAAATTCAGGTATGTGGTTTGCCTTGTGTCATTTAGGAGACGTGGAAAAGATCAAGGACTAATTAAAGAGGTTGGCTGCCAGTTCTGTTTAAACTGTGAGTTTTCTCCTCGACAGTAACTAGGACACTGTGTTATAAATATAATCTCCCAAAATTCCGTGGTGGAATGTTAGGAAGCTCTTAAGGTGTGCCCCAGGTTATTGCTGTTTGTGTGTCAGTCACTGGTTTATTTCTAATTTCACTCCAGCTTTGAGGAGCCAAACTCATTCTGAGGTTTTCTTGAATGTTCTGTGTGGAAGATCAGCAGCAGTGGAAAGGTTTTGGTCTTAGAGAACCTCAGGATCATTTAGGTTGGGAAAGTTCTTGAAATCATCAGGTCCAACCATCCCCCAGCACTGCCCAGGCCACCACTGGCCCCTGTCCCCAAGTGCCACATCCACAGGGCTTTGAAATCCCTCCAGGGCTGGGGATCCACCGCTGCCCTGAAAATACTGGAAAGAAAGTTTTCTTGGGCTGTTTGGCTTTCCAGTCAATTCTGGCTCTTCAAGAGTTCTGGCTTTGCTTTGTTTGCAAAGTTGCTTTTTGGTTATAAAAGTCAAACAAGGCATAGAGGCATTTTCAGGTGCAAGTTTTTAAAATTAAACAAAAAAACAACCAAACTAAACCACCACCACCAACAACAACAAAAAAAACCACCAAAAAAAAAAATCCAACAAAAAAACCACCCAGAAACCAAATAGGAAAAGAAAAATGAAGGGTTTATCTAAAATGATCTGGAAGGCTGCTGCTGAAAAAGCAGTTCAGCAGACTTTGAGATGATACAGATTATTATTTCAACTTCTTATTTCTTAGCACTTTGGATCTTTGTCTGGACTCTCCTCCACCTTCATAGCATTTATTATTGTCCTTAAAAGTGGGATCTTTAAATAAGAGAAGAGTAAAACCACTGACTGTCCCAGCTAAATACTTAAATCACCATTTACACTGAAGCTCCCTAATCTGAATCCATTCAAAAAAATCCCCTTAAATTCCAGAAGAGAGTATTTCCCACTGAAATAGCTGAGTGCACAGGGCTGAAGGGTCCCTGATTCTCTGAAGGGAGGAGTGAGATGGGACAGAACCTGTTAGTCTGGACCTGCCAGCCCAGATCTGGAGTGTGGAAGCACAACCTCCTCCACAGGGGTGCTCCTTTGACCAGCAGCAAAACTGAAGGGAAAACTTGAGATCTGGATTGAAATTCAGATTTTTGGGTGGTGGTTTTTTTTGGTATTTCCATTTAAAGGAGATGTCTTAAAACCCCAAATTTAAATCCGGGTTAATTTCAGTTCTTTTCCGGTGTAGAAATGCTCAGTAGGATGGAAAATTCAAGGAGCTGCAGTTTAGAATCCCTTTAAAGCACAAGGAGGGATTCTTATCTTTAAAGTAAAGGCAGAGTGTTTTTATTTTGTTTTGTGGAGTTGTGTGAAACAAACCCTGGCTGCTTAAACTATTTCGTGCCGTAGCTCTTAATTATCAGAAATTACACTTCTAATGAGAAGTTCCTGCAACCTGAGAGGCACAGAATGCTTACAAAATAGCAGGGTGCTAAAAACCAAGCACCTCTTTCACAGGGCGGGGGTCAGGCTGGGATTCAAGTGCTGCTTGGAAGCCACACATGAAATTAAATGCCAATACTGGTGTGGGTTTTTTTTAGAAAATTCGAGATGTCCCAGTGATGTAACAGGTGGTCTGTCACAGGGATTGCTCTCTGATGTGTTGGGATTTGGAGCTCCAGAGTTCCACACCCTTTTTTTTTTTCTTTTTTTTTTTGCACCCTGAGCTTTTCTGTGTCTGCCAGTCACCACCCACCGCTCTGGCTGTTGATCTGCTTTGCTTCCCCCAAGGATCCTTTCTTGTGGTGGCGTTCCCAGAGCCGGCGTTTTATCCCTGGAATTAATATCTCCCGACGATACCAACCCTGCTGCTCGGGAAGGCAGAGTTTTTCCACGGGAGCCTTGGCAGGGGAGGTGCTGGAGCTGCTCTTAACACTTTAATTAATGCTGGGTTGTGTATGCACAGGTTTTTTTTTTTTGGGGGGGTGGGTTTCTTTTTTTTTTTTTTTTTTTTTTTTTTAGCAGATCCTATTTGGAAACACTGCCTGATATATGGAATGAAAGAAGTGTGCACACTCTCCCTGAGTGCTGCACGTTGTTGTGGCTGTGAACTCTGCACGTTTGTAATGTGAAATTCGCCCAAGTTAATGTGTTGAAAAGTAACAAGTTACTTAAGTTAGTTAAATGTCTCTTTCTGGAGGGAAAAAAAAAAATTACCATAATGGTTACTTTTACTAAAATGCAATTACTGTCATTGGAACAATCAATCACATTTTCTGGTGGAAGGAAACTCTGCCTAGTTTTGAGTGCATTAAAATGTGAGATTTCTCTGCTCTGTGCTCAGAGGAGCTGCACAGGCAACCAACTCCTGGGGGGAGAATCAACTGCAACTTCTGCTCAGATGGTCCTCTCTCAGACTGTTCCAACCCAAACTTCTGCAGTGAAATGGGGCCCAGTGGCTTGTAAAACACCGACCGGAGCGTTGTAAATTCCGAAAGGCTTTCGGAATATTGGACAGAGGTTTTGCTGCAGCTGAGCTTGATTAAGCCCCGAGCAACAAGTTCCCATCTGCAGTCGCCAGTTAAATTCTCAGAGGGGAGAAATAATTGTGGTGCTCAGCTCAAGATGTCCTGTGATCCCCTGAATTATTTTTTTTTTTCAGGCAGTATTGACCACTGCCATGTGGAAATACAGTCTGAGCTGTCCACCCATCACCTGAGGAGGCACGATTCAAAATCTTTAATTTCAGTGGTGGTAGATCGGTGAATTACTGCTGTATTTTTTTAATATTTATTTCTGTGCATGCTTCCCAAGCTCCCTTCAGTACAAGAGGGAAATAATCTGCGATTTTAAGCCACGGGATCTTCTTATGAGTTCATTAAGGTGTTGCATTTTGTGCCTTAAAATACATGCTTTGGTTTTAGAATTTATTCCTTTGTATGAAGAAGTGTTCTGGCTGGTGTTGTGTGGGACTTTGGAGAGATCACTCACCAAAAAACACCCTTCTACAAAACTGACCTTTTACTGACAATGTTTTGCTTCCCATCTCACCATTCTGGGTCTCACAGTAACATGAAATACCCTCAAATTTGATAATTTTAGCCCACTGAGAGACTTACCACTAGATTAGGACACCTTGTACATCCCCTTGTTTATCAAAATCTTCTTGCTAATGAGTCACTATCTCCTTTATCACCCTCCCATTAAACATCTTCAGGTTAATACATCTTTTTCTGGAATGATTACCTATTAATAACCTGTTAGGATTACCCTGCGCTGCAACACCTTCCTGGGACAGATAATTACTGCAGTGATAGAATCTCAGGAGCGAGAATATTGCCCTGATGGTGGAAATGGAGGTTAACACTAAAGGGTGCTCTAATTAGAATTCCAAGGCCTGGAATTGGCGCGGGGAGGGGGGTTGATTTCCTTGGCTCGAGGCCTAATCTCGTTACGTTGTTTTGGACTGTGAGGAGAGTGGGTTTAAAGATCTCCAGCGGAGCAAATGGGATGAGAGGGAGTTCTAAAGAGCTTAAAGAATCACAAAAGTGTAACAACTCCTCCCGAGCGAACCAGGTGATAAAAGCCTTTCTCGGGCTTGTTTGGACGCTGCGAAACTGGGCTCTCCTGAAAAACAATTCCAGTTTTTGGGGGGTGTCAGAGAGAGTGAGTCCAAGTCCTGGAGGGTTTGTGTTACTACATCTACTGCTACACTAATATATAGGTGTAAACCATTAATAACGTGCTACATTTTTATTTTTTAAAATGCTTTTAGACTTGAAATGCTAAAAAAAAAAAATCACTTAATTCTGGTGAATATATGGAACATAATATTATTCAGTCCCTACAGCTCTTTCAGGTAGATTTTTAGAGCGTTAATTTCCAGCAGTTCTACGGGATTCGTGTCAAGCTTTGATTTTGGTTGACTGATGGCACAGGGAATTCAGGTATTTCAGTCTTTTCTTCGGTTGCTTGTTTTGTTTCTTTGACAAAATTCTGCTGCCCCTGATGTGGAATAAAATAATTTCTATAAAATAAAACAGAGGGAAAGAAAAGTTAGCCAAGGCCTTTATGAAATCTAGTCCAGGACTTCTTTGATTAGCAGGAATTTGGGTCTTGTGAGTTATCCAGTCTCTGCATAACGTGTAAACCCTTAATAATGTGTTGCATTTTTATTTTTAAAAGTGTAACAGTGCTGAAGAATCACTTCATTTTAATATATGTAACATTCATATTACACACCCTCTACAGCAAGACTGTTTATAACATTAATTTCCATGAGTTCTAAGACATTTGTGTGAAAATTAATTGATACGTTTGACTGGTGGCACAGGGAATTCAGACATTTTAGTCCTTTTTGTTTGGTTTTCTTTTTGTTTTTTGATAAAGTTCTGCTGCCTTGATATACAATAAAAGAATATCTATAGAATAAAAAAGGGAGAAGGAAATTATAGCAAAGGCTTTTATGAGATCAAGTTCAGGTCTTTGAATAACAGAAATTTTGGGTTTGTGAGCTGCCAGTTTCTACCTAATGTTCTTATTCTGTGTTAAGGTTTGTAAAATGTGGATCCGTCAACATTTTAAAATACTTTTTTACAGTATTATAATGTATTTTTCTCCTTTAGATCGCATGTGATTCATTTTACATACAAAGAGACCCACCCATTCCATAGAAATACGCACAAAACAATAATTCTAAAAAAAAAATTCCCACTTTTGCTTGAAAACAACTTTCAAAAGTATCGACATCAATGGCTTCATTTCAGTTCCACTCTCAGTAATGCTCCAGATGAGAAACCAGCTGGAAAGCACAAACTTTCTACAGGCAGAATTTTGGGTGGAAAAAGAATATGAAATGTTTGAATGAATTCATTTTGTATCTTCAGGAGTCTGGGTGAGATTTGTTATTCGAGCCCTT